CAGGTGTATATCAGTATGTAGTGTCTCTACTTTAAAGAGTCCTCTCCTGCTGGTGTTCGGGTATATCAGTATGTAGTGTCTCTACTTTAAAGAGTCCTCTCCTGCTGATGTTCAGGTGTATATCAGTATGTAGTGTCTCTACTTTAAAGAGTCCTCTCCTGCTGATGTTCAGGTGTATATCAGTATGTAGTGTCTCTACTTTAAAGAGTCCTCTCCTGCTGCTGTTCAGGTGTATATCAGTATGTAGTGTCTCTACTTTAAAGAGTCCTCTCCTGCTGATGTTCGGGTGTATATCAGTATGTAGTGTCTCTACTTTAAAGAGTCCTCTCCTGCTGGTGTTCGGGTGTATATCAGTATGTAGTGTCTCTACTTTAAAGAGTCCTCTCCTGCTGATGTTCGGGTGTATATCAGTATGTAGTGTCTCTACTTTAAAGAGTTCTCTGCTGCTGATGTTCAGGTGTATATCAGTCAGTAGTGTCTCTACTTTAAAGAGTCCTCTCCTGCTGATGTTCAGGTGTATATCAGTATGTAGTGTCTCTACTTTAAAGTGTCCTCTCCTGCTGGTGTTCAGGTGTAAATCAGTATGTAGAGTCTCTACTTTAAAGAGTCCTCTCCTGCTGATGTTCAGGTGTATATCAGTATGTAGTGTCTCTACTTTAAAGAGTCCTCTCCTGCTGATGTTCAGGTGTATATCAGTATGTAGTGTCTCTACTTTAAAGAGTCCTCTCCTGCTCGTGTTCAGGTGTATATCAGTATGTAGTGTCTCTACTTTAAAGAGTCCTCTCCTGCTGATGTTCAGGTGTATATCAGTATGTAGTGTCTCTACTTTAAAGAGTTCTCTCCTGCTGAGGTTCAGGTGTATATCAGTATGTAGTGTCTCTACTTTAAAGAGTCCTCTCCTGCTGATGTTCAGGTGTATATCAGTCAGTAGTGTCTATACTTTAAAGAGTCCTCTCTTGCTGATGTGCAGGTGTATATCAGTATGTAGTGTCTCTACTTTAAAGAGTCCTCTCCTGCTGATGTTCAGGTGTATATCAGTATGTAGAGTCTCTACTTTAAAGAGTACTCTCCTGCTGATGTTCAGGTGTATATCAGTATGTAGTGTCTCTACTTTAAAGAGTCCTCTCCTGCTGATGTTCAGGTGTATATCAGTATGTAGTGTCTCTACTTTAAAGAGTCCTCTCCTGCTGATGTTCAGGTGTATATCAGTATGTAGTGTCTCTACTTTAAAGAGTCCTCTCCTGCTGATGTTCAGGTGTATATCAGTATGTAGAGTCTCTACTTTAAAGAGTCCTCTCCTGCTGATGTTCAGGTGTATATCAGTATGTAGTGTCTCTACTTTAAAGAGTCCTCTCCTGCTGATGTTCAGGTGTATATCAGTACGTAGTGTCTCTACTTTAAAGAGTCCTCTCCTGCTGATGTTCAGGTGTATATCAGTACGTAGTGTCTCTACTTTAAAGAGTCCTCTCCTGCTGATGTTCAGGTGTATATCAGCATGTGGTGTCTCCCTGTACACCAACAGCTGCACCTCCAGTCACCAGTCTGTCAAGCTCCTGAAGTTCGCAGACGACACCACGCTCATCGGACTCATCTCTGGTGGGGACGAGTCTGCCTACAGGTGGGAGATGGACCATCTGGTGACCTGGTGTGGGGAAAACCACCTGGAGTTCAACGCCCTAAAAACAGTGGAGATGGTCGTTGACTTCAGGAAGAACGCAGCCCCACCCGCCCCCATCACTCTGTGTGACTCCCCAGTAGCTGCTGTGGAGTCTTTCCGCTTCCTGGGCACCATCATCGCCCAGGACCTCAAATGGGAGCAGAACATCTGCTCCCTCATCAAAAAAGCACAGCAGAGGATGTTCTTCCTAAGGCAGCTGAAGAAATTCAACCCGCCAAAGACGATGATGGTGAACTTCTACACCTCCATCATCGAGTCCATCCTCACCTCCTCCATCACCATCAGGTACGCCGCAGCCACAGCCAAGGATAAGGGCAGGCTGCAGCGTGTCATCAGCTCAGCAGAGAAGGTGATCGGCTGCAATCTGCCACCCCTCCATGACCTGCATGCCTCCAGGACCCTGAGGCGGTTAGGGAAGATAGTGGCCGACCCCTCCCACCCTGGACACAAACTGTTCACCCCCCTCCCCTCTGGCAGGAGGCTCCATCAGGACCAAAACCTCTCGCCACCTGAACAGTTTCTTCCCCTCCGCTACCAGCCTCTTAAACAAGGCCCGCTCCCCCCACTGACACTTTACCTCAGCCACATCATAGACTATGCATTACATTAATGCACACAATGTTCATACTCCTTTCTGCACATATTCTTATTTCACATTTCATAGTTTATATTCTAAAATTCATTCATAGCATTCTATTTCCATGTAAATTACTGCTTTATTTTTATTTGTATTGCTATTTAACTATATTTTATTACGGTGTAAAAGATTTTTTGTTTTGTATTAGATTTCTTGTTTTTTATATTTTATGTATGCACCATGACAAGTCAAATTCCTAGTATGTGCGAACCTCCCTGGCAATAAACCTGTTTCTGATTCTGATTCTCTACTTTAAAGAGTCCTCTCCTGCTGATGTTCAGGTGTATATCAGTATGTAGTGTCTCTACTTTAAAGAGTCCTCTCCTGCTGATGTTCAGGTGTATATCAGTATGTAGTGTCTCTACTTTAAAGAGTCCTCTCCTGCTGATGTTCAGGTGTATATCAGTATGTAGTGTCTCTACTTTAAAGAGTCCTCTCCTGCTGATGTTCAGGTGTATATTAGTATGTAGTGTCTCTACTTTAAAGAGTCCTCTCTACTTTAAAGAGTCCTCTCCTGCTGATGTGATTGGTCAACCGCTTACAGACGTCCCACCCCTTAACCTATCACATACAATGTGTTGGCGCGCTAGCCAATAGGAGTGCGAGTATTACATAGTGATGTCACTGTGTTCCTGAAGTAAACAAAGGAAGGAGGCGTTCCAGTTTTAGATTCAGGTACTTGAGTCCTGTTCTAAGAGGTAAACGTGTAATGTGTCTAAATCACGGTGTTTAAAAACAATGCCTCCAGAAATACTATATACACAAAGTTACATCAAATATATAAATACTGATTTCTAAAAATGCTAAATAATATTAATAAGTAGGACATTATCTACTCATTAGAACACAACAGGATTGTGTGTGTGTGTGTGTGTGTGTGTGTGTGTGTGTGTGTGTGTGTGTGTGTGTGTGACAGCCTGTTATTAAAGTCATGTTGACGGCTCTGTTTTGCCTCTGAACTCTTCAACTCTGTTTTATCAGAACACACACACACACACACACACACTTTACTCTTTTATTTCCCTCCAACCCTTCATCTGATTACTCATATCTGTTTTAACGTCCCTAATTATCTGGAGTTTCACGTTGTCCCTGTTTGAATGTGATTCATGGCTCTTTAAACAGACTGCTGACTGTAAGGAACAAAGCACTTCCTGTAAACATGCTGTCTCAGGTTCAAACACAGAGGCTGTTAGTGACCTGTCAATCACAGGAAGCCCCTCCCTAAAGCATACGCTGCTTCTTGCTTCTGTCTCACTCAGGTCCATTTACTGTATGAACATCCATTAGACATGAAACCAGAGGAGTAGGAACATCTTCTCTACAATCTGAGGTAATAAAGAGAGAAAGAAGCAGGAACATGTGTCACCCTCTGCTGGTTATCAGAGAGGATGCAGCTTTAAGGAGCTTCAGCTTCACTTTTCTGCAGGTTCCCTCCTGTATCAACACAGTGTTGGCCTCAGGTCAGCCATCAATCCCCCTCCTCATGCTGAAGTGTCTTTGAGTAAAACACTGAACTCAGACTGCAGGTCAGGTTTGATAATAAACCTGAAAAACTACAGGCAGCAGCACTCTGTGGTGTCTCTGTTCACAGTGCTGAGCAGATGATGCCCCCTGCTGGATGAATGATGATGTTGCAGTGACAGAAATGTGCTGTCTCCCCTACACCTGAAATATTTAATGGATGTGTACACTTAAACAAATTACAAATAATTCTCAGACTTATCACAGGTATTGATCTCTTGGATCATTTGATTAATACATAATTTTTCATATCTTACAGCAGTTCAAGTGGAGGTGAGACTGGGAACAGAGGTGACAAAGCTCTACACTATCCAGAGTCCACCAGAGGACTACAGTACCCAGAATCCACCAGAGCACTACACTATCCAGAATCTACTAGAGCACTACACTATCCAGAATCCACTAGAGCAGTGGTTCTCAACCTTTTTACACCAAGTACCACCTGAGAAAATAGTTGGTACAGTACCCAGAGTCCACCAGAGGACTACACTATCCAGAGTCCACCAGAGCACTACACTATCCAGAGTCCACCAGAGGACTACAGTACCCAGAGTCCACCAGAGGACTACACTATCCAGAGTCCACCAGAGCACTACAGTACCCAGAACCTACCAGAGCACTACACTATCCAGAGTCCACCAGAGGACTACAGTACCCAGAGTCCACCAGAGGACTACAGTACCCAGAGTCCACCAGAGGACTACACTATCCAGAGTCCACCAGAGGACTACAGTACCCAGAGTCCACCAGAGGACTACAGTACCCAGAATCCACCAGAGGACTACAGTACCCATAATCCACCAGAGCACTACAGTACCCAGAAACCACCAGAGCACTACAGTACCCAGAATCCACCAGAGGACTACAGTACCCAGAATCCACCAGAGCACTACAGTACCCAGAATCCACCAGAGCACTACAGTATCCACAAGAGAACTTATAGATTTGAAAGTTGTCATAGTTTTTGTAAATAACATGTTAATAAAGTGTGCAGCAGCAGCAGCAGCTGTGAAATGTAAGTTATTTAGTTTTAGCTGGAGTAATCTGACCTGGGGGTTGGGGTCCCCCTCCTGTCAAAAACACACTGAATGTTAATGGAGGGGGGGTCCACACACTTTCACAGGATGTCAGCTCCTGATCTCAGAATAACATTCCTGAAACTTTGTTTACGTGAAACAGCAAAAATCTTTATTGATCAAAAAGTTCAAACACAATATCTAATTTTTATAACTTCCGATTCAAACACATACGGACCCAGAAATATAATGCAGTTTAACATCAGAATTGTATTTATCTTAATGTCCCTGAATTTAAACTGGATTACAGTTTGTGTCATCAAAAATACATTTACACTGGATATTCATCAAAGATGATTACAAATATTTCAGGTTGAGTCTTTGAACAATAATGAATAAACTTTAATTTCTAACAAATTCAGTGGTTTCTACAATGTTATTTCTCAGGAGTTTATAAATTAAATCCTAGTTTGGGCAGTCAATCAGGTTATAGTCGTCCACCTGACTTCCTGTTACCTGGATCACTGCGACAGAAAACAAACTATTAAATATATAGAGAGGTTTTTTTTCTGAATTTGTGAGTTTTTTTCTTGTTTTTGACTTTGATTTTCAGAATTGCCTTTATTTATTCATTATATAACCTCGGAGAAAAATAAGCATTTGTCTCATGTATATGTATTTTTTTGTGTGAGTTTGTAATCTCAGTGAATATTGAAGTTTTTTATCATAAATTGATATAATTATTTCTTGTAAATGTACAAATTAGCATTATTTCTGTGAAATTCCACCCCCTGTCCCACACTCGTGATGTCACTGGCAGTCAGGACCAATCACAGCTCTGATCCTCACGATGCTTCCTTCTCATTGGCCGGCTCATAGCCCTCTTTGTTCTTCATGGCTCGTTTCCTCCTCATGCAGAGCGCCACCGTCACCGCGACAACCACCACAAGCACAACCAGCGCCGCCATGGCAACCAGCAGTGGCAACAGGAAGCCAAGAGTCGGAGCACATACCGGCGAATCCTCAGCGTGGCGCTCGCCAGCGTCATCGATACAGAAACACCTGCAGGGGGCGTCAGAGAGGTAAATACGTATTAATACAATCTGACAATGAAAACATGAGAAACACCTGCAGGGGGCGACAGAGAGGTAAATACGTATTAATACAGTCTGACAATGAAAACATGAGACACAGCTGCAGGGGGCGACAGAGAGGTAAATACGTATTAATACAGTCTGACACAAACATGAGAAACACCTGCAGGTGTTATATGGTTGGGGGTTTTATTGAATTTCTTTCTTAAAATTCTGATATTTTTCCAAAATTCAGATTTTTCTCTGAATATGGACCTTTGTCTTCCGTCAGTGAGAGTTCTTCTAAACATGAACTTTAGTGTGCAGGCTCATATGTTCTGGTTCTTCTCGTAGCTCCTCGTAGCAGAGCATCTTCACCACAAGACTCTTATCTCTTAAGTGCTAGGACTGTTTTAGGTACTAAAGCTTTTATGTGCGCTGCTCCTCTAGCTTGGAACACTATGCAAAAAACATTGAAACTGAGCATTTTGATTCCCTTGCATCATTTTAAAGCTCGGCTGGATGAAATGTTATTGGATACCTGTCACTGTCAATAGGTTGCTAATGTATACCCCTGTAATTATGTTGTGATGTCCTTTTTGTTTTCTGTTGTTTTTATGTGTAACTAATGTACCGCAGGTCTCCCTTGAAAAAGAGATCGTTGATCTCAATGGGATTTTTTAACCTGGTTAAATAAAGGCTACAAACAAACAAACAATCTCCAATAAATCTCACTGTTAATAATGCTAAATTCAGATTTGTTTTTGTTTGAATTCTCAAAATCTTTTCTGGAAACCGACCTTCGTTTGCTGCACAGAGTGACTGGCGTTAGCGTAGCATTAGAGTAGCGTTAGCTTTAGTGGGTGACCTCTGACCTGTAGGACCCTGGTGTGTTGAGGCAGGAGGTTCTGCAGGGCCCGGCCCCACCGCTGCACTCGTCGATGTCCTCACAGTCTCCGGACCCGGTTCTGATGAAGCCCGGCTCACAGGGCTGGCAGGCGGTGCTCTGGTTGGCCACGGATCCATCCGTCAGGCGCCAGGCAGGGGGGCGGCCCGAGCAGACCAGGTCCAGCTGCAGACCAGACCAGCACTCCGCCAGAACCCGGGTGCTGTTGTCTTCGCGGAGGGAGCGGGTCCCCAGGATCGGAGGCCATGGACAAGGGTCCGGTTCTGTTCCAGAGTCAGACTTCAGGTCCGGTTCTGTTCCAGAGTCAGGCTTCAGGTCCGGTTCTGTTCCAGAGTCAGGCTTCAGGTCCGGTTCTGTTCCAGAGTCAGACTTCAGATCCGGTTCTGTTCCAGAGTCAGACTTCAGATCCGGTTCTGTTCCAGAGTCAGGCTTCAGGTCCGGTTCTGTTCCAGAGTCAGGCTTCAGGTCCGGTTCTGTTCCAGAGTCAGGCTTCAGGTCCGGTTCTGTTCCAGAGTCAGGCTTCGGGTCTGGTTCTGGTCCAAACTTAGGCTTCAGGTCCGGTTCTGGGTCTTGTGTCGCAGATGTAGGTTGTGGTGTCCCCCGGCCTTTACAGATGTAGGGGTTTTTGTTCCTGCAGCTGACGGGAATCAGGCCCCAGCTGGTCCCGCTGGTCCCGGTCTGGTTCAGCTTGATGGCGGCGCAGCGTAAGGTGGTGCAGGTCTCCTGGGGCTCCTGGGCCCAGCGGACCACCTGCGGGGCCCGGCTGCCCCCCCCCGGTCCAGCTGAACCCCCTCAAAGGCAGACCTGGATCCACACAGGCATCCTTCACCTTCCGCAGCCCGACCCAGAACACGGACCCGTTTGACCCTGAGACCAGGTCCAGCACCGCAGAGACCTCCTGGTCCGAGGACAGGGAGGCAAGTTCCCCGGGGGGGCAGGCGTCCTCTGCCACCGAGAAGATGACGGGGGAGGGATGCAGTGAGAACAGGGGTGGGGAGGCCCAGACCATGGCGCCCAGAACCCAACAAAACCAGAACCACATCATCTTCATCTGATCCTGATCCTGAGGAGAGACATCAGGGTCTGATTAAAACTTTATCCATCAAAACAAACACAAAAAAATATATTTTAAATATTAACGGTTGGTATAAAAACATGTGAAATTGTCATCATATTTTATTAATATTCATTTTTTATTATTATTTATTACATGTTGAAACAGCAGCCTTTACTGGAGCAGACAAAGTGAACAGTTACTACATCTTTATAAAGTTATTATACTGATATTATATCTACAGGTATATACATTTACTATCAGCTGACCAGTGTTAGAGAGGGTTATTACATGATGGCACTTCACTCATTACACCTGAACCTCAGCAGGTGAGGACTCTTTAAAGTAGAGACACTACATATGATATACACCTGAACATCAGCAGGAGAGGACTCTTTAAAGTAGAGACACTACATACTGATATACACCTGAACCTCAGCAGGAGAGGACTCTTTAAAGTAGAGACACGACATACTGATATACACCTGAACCTCAGCAGGAGAGGACTCTTTAAAATAGAGACACTACATACTGATATACACCTGAACCTCAGCAGGAGAGGACTCTTTAAAATAGAGACACTACATACTGATATACACCTGAACCTCAGCAGGAGAGGACTCTTTAAAGTAGAGACACTACATACTGATATACACCTGAACCTCAGCAGGAGAGGACTCTTTAAAGTAGAGACACTATATGATATACACCTGAACCTCAGCATGAGAGGACTCTTTAAAGTAGAGACACTATATACTGATATACGACAAAACATCAGCAGGATAGGACTCTTTAAAGTAGAGACACTATATACTGATATACACCTGAACATCAGCATGAGAGGACTCTTTAAAGTAGAGATACTACACACTGATATACACTTGAACATCAGCAGGAGAGGGACTCTTTAAAGTAGAGACACTATAAACTGATATACACCTGAACATCAGCAGGAGAGGACTCTTTAAAGTAAAGACACTACATGCTGATATACACCTGAACATCAGCAGGAGAGGACTCTTTAAAGTAGAGACACTACATACTGATATATACCTGAACATCAGCAGGAGAAGGACTCTTTAAAGTAGAGACACTATATACTGATATACGACAGAACATCAGCAGGAGAGGACTCTTTAAAGTAGAGACACTACATACTGATATACACCTCAACTTCAGCAGGAGAGGACTCTTTAAAGTAGAGACACTACATACTGATATACACCTGAACATCAGCAGGAGAGGACTCTTTAAAGTAGAGACACTACATGCTGATATACACTTGAACATCAGCAGGAGAGGGACTCTTTAAAGTAGAGACACTATAAACTGATATACACCTGAACATCAGCAGGAGAGGACTCTTTAAAGTAGAGACACTACACACTGATATACACTTGAACATCAGCAGGAGAGGGACTCTTTAAAGTAGAGACACTATAAACTGATATACACCTGAACATCAGCAGGAGAGGACTCTTTAAAGTAGAGACACTATATATTGATATACACCTGAACATCAGCAGGAGAGGACTCTTTAACGTAGAGACACTACATACTGATATACACGTGAACATCAGCAGGAGAGGACTCTTTAAAGTAGAGACACTACATACTGATATACACCTGAACATCAGCATGAGAGGACTCTTTAAAGTAGAGACACTATATACTGATATACACCTGAACATCAGCAGGAGAGGACTCTTTAAAGTAGAGACACTACATACCGATATACACGTGAACATCAGCAGGAGAGGACTCTTTAAAGTAGAGACACTACATACTGATATACACCTGAACATCATCATGAGAGGACTCTTTAAAGAAGATACACTACATACTGATATACACCTAAACATCAGCATGAGAGGACTCTTTAAAGTAGAGACACTACATACTGATATACACCTGAACATCAGCAGGACAGGACTCTTTAAAGTAGAGACACTACGTACTGATATACACCTGAACATCAGCAGGACAGGACTCTTTAAAGTAGAGACACTACGTACTGATATACACCTGGACATCAGCAGGACAGGACTCTTTAAAGTAGAGACACTACGTACTGATATACACCTGAACATCAGCAGGAGAGGACTCTTTAAAGTAGAGACACTACATACTGACATACACCTTAACATCAGCATGAGAGGACTCTTTAAAGTAGAGACACTACATACTGATATACACCTGAACATCAGCAGGAGAGGGACTCTCTAAAGTAGAGACACTACATACTGATATACACCTTAACATCAGCATGAGAGGACTCTTTAAAGTAGAGACACTACATACTGATATACACCTGAACATCAGCATGAGAGAACTCTTTAAAGTCCTTATTTCTCGTTTTACCCTCTCTCTGAACATGAAGTCCAGATCTTCTGATAAACAGACATTACTGTTTTCTCTAGAGAGGAACCAAAAAAATAATTTATCAGTAAAATATTTGTATACAATCGTCCATTTTAAAAACTACAAATATTAAAATAATCAAGAAACAGGTTTATTCTGAGATTTGTTTAAAATAGTCCCCGCTGAGGGACAAATAAAGGATTTGTGACAAACAGAGTTATAACTTCTGTTTATGAATAAATACCGGATTTATTCCAGAATATTCATCGGTATTATAAACAACTTATCTCAGTTATATGTTGGTATAAGTACTCAGATACTCGAGGAAAAGTACAAATACTTTTTCTGCCCAACATCTCAGAACAACTTACTGTAGTATTATCAGCCAAAAGTACACAAATAAAAGTACTTTGCAGAATGGATCTTAGTAATTGTCTTAATAACTTAACTTAATAATATTATGAGTATTATATTTACTGTTGTAGTTTTTCACGGCGTAGACAATATAAATAGTGAGGAGTACTACAGTACACCATGTCATGTGTCATTATGTGATGTATGACATCTAAAGTACACGTGAAGTGTATGTGAAGAAGTACTTGAGTAAATGTGATTTAAGGTATATTTATGAAAGTATTTCATATGAATTGAACACAGACTGACCAGTAGAGACAGGAAGAGGAGGAAGAGGAGGAAGAGGAGCAGCTTCCTGTCTGCAGAATCTGTATCTCTATAATTATATTTATCTTTAAAACACTTTAAACGTACCGTATGAGGTTCCTCTCTTCTGGTTCCTCTCCTGTGGTTCCTGGTTCTCTTTTAGTATAGAGAAGTTTCTCACACTCCTTCTTCTTCTGCAGCTTTCCTCACCTCCCCTCCTCCTCCTCCACACCCTCCTCTTCCTCCTCCCTCTTCTTTTTCAGTTTCTCCTCCACAGTAGCGCCCCCCCCCCAAACAGGAAGTGTGTTCAGTCTTGATACAGATTCTGCTTCCTTCAGAGACTAAATCTCAGTCTGATCTCCACAGAGTTTATTCAGAAATACTGCGCTGTGATTGGCTGAGAGCTGGAGGGACAGGTAGTTAGGTCACCCGTTTAACATAAACACAGAAGATTAATGTAAAGTTGGAGACGTGAAAACATTTAATGTTTTAATTAATTCACTTTGTTTTGGTGTGATAGGAAGAGGGTGCTGAATGAAGCTGCTACACACACACGCACATGCACGCACACACACACACACACACACACACACACACACACACACACACACTGGGGAGGATAATTGTTGTCACGGAGTCACAGATGCTTCCTGGAGGAAGTGGATAAAGAATGGCAGGAAGTAGAAGGTCGTAAAGGGCGGAGCTATGACTAATGGAGCTGTTGTCAGGGTAACGCTGCAGTGACCTGACTGTGTGTGTGTGTGTGTGTGTGTGTGTGTGTGTGTGTGTGTGTGTGTGTGTGTGTGTGGGTTATGGAAGCTGTAATCTCTGTGCGACCTGCAGGCCTGGCCCTGTGACGCTCTCTGTTGTGCGACGGCCTCATAACACCTGGAAGACATGGGTTAGGTTTATAAAATACCTCATGGACTTCCCCACTCAGTCCATCAAGACCCGAGCAATACACAGCAAAGAAGCATTACCAAAACTAAACAAAGTGTTTTTATTTATTTATTAAAATTATAACTACAATCCGAAAAAACAGGCCTCTAGGAGAAAACGCCACTGGCCTGTCTAGGCTTCTCTGTACCCCGTTACCCTCTACAAGGCCATAGACTCCATAGACCAGGAGAGGGAAACATCCCCCCTTAGGGTTTAGGGTAAAAAGCATGATTGACTGTATTGCCAGACCTAATGTCAATAATCTGCTTTGTAAACATGACACAATGTTACGGTGGCCCGGAAGTGCAAGACGCCACAGCATTTCAGAAAACACAACAGCATTTCAGAAAACACCGCAACATTTCAGAAAACACAACAGCATTTCAGAAAACACCGCAACATTTCAGAAAACACAACAGCATTTCAGAAAACACCGCAACATTTCAGAAAACACCACAGCATTTCACAAAACGCCGCAGCATTTCAGAAAACGCCACAGCATTTCACAAAACGCCGCAGCATTTCAGAAAACACAACAGCATTTCACAAAACACAACAGCATTTCACAAAACACTACAGCATTTCACATTGGACGGAAAGGGTATTCCTTTAGGGAGAACACTTCTTGTTTGTGATTGGACAGAGCCAGCCAGAGAAGCACTGCTGTGATTGGTTGTTTTTGCTGCCAGTCAAGAAATGACGCTTCGTGATCGGTCAGCACCCGACAGGCAACATGTCCCAACACATCAACCGTTAGCTGTTAGCACTCAGAGCTCACAGCTCCTCATATCTGTTCAGAAACTGGACAAAAGTTAAACAAGTACAAACCACAGACTGTCTGTGTCATGGCGAATACAGTCGCTGCTTTATTTATGTCTGTATGACGCTGTTGTGAGTGTGGACGGAGCAGCTACAGGTTAGTTTAGCCTGATCGATCCGCCCCCTCTCCAGCACGTCTTGTTTGAATGACAGGAGTAAACACTGACAGCTGCGGTGAAACTCGACAACAAAATGAACATATTGACCGTGATTTAATTGTAATACACGTTTCAAAGTGATGCCGAAGTAACTACATACTGATACCGGTTAGTAACAACCGGTTAGTTTAGCCTGATGGATCCGATTCCATTCAGAAAACACGCATTTTAAAAGCTTTTCGCCTGCCGTCTTGTCTGCAGACTTGTCAAAGCATTAATTCATGGTTTTTACTAACCGGTATCAGTATGTTGTTACTTCGGCATCACTTTGAAACGTGTATTACAATTAAATCACGGTCAATATGTTCATTTTGTTGTAGTTGGTATCTCCCATAGGATTTACATGGAGATACGCCCCGCCCCCTCTCCAGCGCGTCTTGTTTGAATGACAGGAGCAAACACAGCTGACAGTCGCCGTGAAAGTCGAGCGATTAGAGCAATGCGAATATTGGTAGTCTACCACAGTATTTACATGGAGATAAGCCCCTTAAAAACCATGAATTAATAAAGCATTAATTCATGTTTTTTTCGCATCGCTCTAATCGCTCGAGTTTCACCGCAGCTGTCAGTGTTTACGCCTGTCATTCAAACAAGACGTGCTGGAGAGGGGGCGGATTGATCAGGCTAAACTAACCTGTAGCTGCTCCGTCCACACTCACAACAGCGTCATACAGACATAAATAAAGCAGCGACTGTATTCGCCATGACATAGACAGTCTGTGGTTTGTACTTGTTTAACTTTTGTCCAGTTTCTGAACAGATATGAGGAGCTGTGAGCTCTGAGTGTGTGCTAACAGCTAACGGTTGATGTGTTGGGACATGTTGCCTGTCGGGTGCTGACCGATCACGAAGCGTCATTTCTTGACTGGCAGCAAAAACAACCAATCACAGCAGTGCTTCTCTGGCTGGCTCTGTCCAATCACAAACAAGAAGTGTTCTCCCTAAAGGAATACCCTTTCCGTCCAATGTGAAATGCTGTGGCGTTTTCTGAAATGCTGTGGCGTTTTCTGAAATGCTGTGGCGTTTTCTGAAATGCTGCGGTGTTTTCTGAAATGCTGTAGCGTTTTGTGAAATGCTGTTGTGTTTTGTGAAATGCTGTTGTGTTTTCTGAAATGCTGTTGTGTTTTCTGAAATGCTGTTGTGTTTTGTGAAATGCTGTTGTGTTTTGTGAAATGCTGTTGTGTTTTCTGAAATGCTGCAGCGTTTTGTGAAATGCTGCAGCGTTTTCTGAAATGCTGTTGTGTTTTGTGAAATGCTGCGGCGTTTTCTGAAATGCTCTGGTGTTTTCTGAAATGCTGTAGTGTTTTCTGAAATGCTGTGGTGTCTTGCACTTCCGGGCCACCGTACAATGTGGCTATATCCATATCATTCATGTCAGTGAATGTACTACTTTGAATTTACCCTCTGTATGTGTTAACCTGTTAAGCCCGAGAGACCCCGGTACCGCGGTAGGGGAGAAGGGCGTAAGTTGAGCCAGTGGGTAAGTTGAACCACCCCCTGTAACCAGGCAACGCCTTATAGTTGTAATCACGTGACCAGAAATTATGCAAGCTTCTCCCATTTATCATTGCCTGTGAAAGAGAGATGCTCATTGTGGTCTGGTAAGTAAACATTTTTACAAAAAAAGTTTTTTGCTTGTCAAAGTACATTTTCTAGATGTCAGCTATATCGGCTGTCATGTAAAAAAAAATGTATCCAGGTTTAAACAAATATATTGTATATGTTGATGTGTTGGCAGCGTATTAAACCATGTGAGTCATTAAGCTAAAGATGACTCTGAATTTTAATGCTTGGCTATTTTTTCTAAAATGGTGGCTGTTAGCAGAGTAAGCATAACTTCATTGCTGTTTAGCATCCAAATAAGCGGAGGAGTAACAAAACATCAGAGACAGTGGCATTTCATTCAACGGGCACTCCCATTGGAGGCGTGGCTTTATTTATACCCATCATTGACCTTTAACCTGTTACGCTATTGGCTTCCAGTCATGCACAACAAATAACACAAATTGGTAACATATTTACCTGAATGTTAACACCCCCACTTGATAACACATTTGTGGTCTTTTAACAAATAAAAACATTATAAGGTTCTCTACCTTACAGAAATTGTTACTCGCCAAACATAAACTTTGCAAACTTAATCAACTTAAACTTTGGTGCAGGTTTTGTCATAACATCTGCCACCATCTGGTCTGTTGAACAATAAATCAGATTTGTTTTTCCCCCCTTCCACAGTTGACCTCAGAAAATGATACTTAATGTCAATATGTTTACATCTCTGTCTGTTAACAGGATTCTTTGCCAACGCTATTGTGCCCTGGTTGTCTTCGTAAATCGTAGGTAGTGTATATTCACATTTGTCAATGCCCTCTAGTAGTTGTATTAAGTACATACACTCCTGCATAGTAGCTGCTAAAGCCATATACTCGGCTTCACAAGTTGATAAAGCAACAGTTGGCTGCTTTTTGGTTTTCCAGGAAACCAGTGGCCCGCTCTCATTAAGGCTAACACAATAACCTGACATACTACGTCTGTCGGTTAGATCAGCAGCCCAATCTGCATCGCTGTATGCTTGTAAGCCCAGTTTTTCACTCTTACATTTCCGGTAACACAGTTCCCTGTCGATTGTACCTTTCAAATATCTCAGTACATGTTTTACAGTAATCCATTGCTCTTCTGTCGGCTCAGAAAAATACTGGGACAGTTTACTGACAACAAAACTCAAATCAGGCCTCGTGCACACAACTAGGTAGATCAGGCTACCTACTGCTTCTCTGTACATTCTAACATCCTTCATCGGTACAGCATCATCCAAGTAGTTCAGTTTTTGCTCACAAGGTGTCGCTCTCGGTTTACAATCCTGCATGTTAAACCTTTCAAGTATTTTGTTTACATATTTCTTCTGTGACATCTTTACACATGAATCAGTTTGATCAAAATCAATGCCAAGGAAATGTTTTAGTTTCCCCAAGTCTTTCATCCTGAATTTAGCTGTGAGCATCTCTTTAACAACTTTCAATGCATTGTTATCACTAGCTGCAATGATTATATCATCAACCCATATTATCATTATCACTTTCCAGTTTTCAGTTTCTTTTGTGTAAACACAATGGTCAGCAGGGTTCTGTAGGAACTCATTTTCACTCAGATACTCATGTAGCATTTTGTTCCAATTTCTGCCTGACTGTTTAAGCCCATATAGTGACTTTTCTAGCTTGTACACCAACTTTTCACCTTTACTAGATTTGACCTCAAAACCCTCTGGCTGGTCCATGTATATCTCACAGTCTATTGGTGCATGTAGGTAAGCAGTTTTAACATCCATTTGGTGTAAAATCAGATTTTCCTGTGCTGCTTTTTGCATTAACACTCTGATACTGGTGAGGTTAGCGGTAGGTGAAAATGTCTCATCATAGTTTTCACCCCTCTTCTGACTGTATCCCTTGGGTACATATCGTGCCTTGTATCTTTCGGATCCATCAACATTGGTTTTGATATCGTACACCCATTTACCCCCCACTGCTTTCTCATCTTGAGGTAAGTTGGTCAGGATAAATGTGTCATTCTCTTTTAGTGATTGCATTTCCTCATCCATTGCAATAACCCATTGTTTTGACTCAGATGAAGTTACAGCCTCCCTAAATGTTAAAGGGATATTGCACATTAATCTGTAACAATAGTCAATATTTGTCAGTAGCTGATCCTCACTTTCCTTACCACATACACTGTCACATAAGTAAGCTGGCTTCTTCCTCACTCTTGAAGGATAACGCCTAAGCTCACTCTTGTCGTCTTCTGTCTCTGTTACCACAGGTATAGATACTGGACTAACGTTAGTATCACGCTTGATTTTGCCAGATTTGTTCTGTACCTCAAAGTCATCATCAGAGACGGTTTCTGTTTGTGTTTCTCTTTCTGAATTGGTCTTGGTCACAAACTTCACAAGTCTAGATTTTTGCACTTTTCCACTGTGAGGGAAATAGACCATGTAGGCTGGACTATTTTTGTCATATCCAACAAAAATTCCTTCTTCACACCTTGAGTCCAGTTTCTTTTTGTCTTGCTTATAGGCATAGCACACTGACCCAAATTTGTGCATTCTGGACAGGTTAGGCCTGCTTCCGCCTGCACCACAGCTTACGTTGGCACGTTCCGGCCTTGTGTCCACTCAGGCCGCATCTATAACAAACAATGTCCGCACACTTGGTTCCTTTATCCCATGCTCTTGGTACAGAGGGTTGTCTCGCTCTCAACTGCTCCCGCGCCCTCATGACGTTGTCCTCTGGTGGCGGTGTGCGCATTCGCTCAGTATCCTCATAGCTGCGGAGCTTAGTCTTAAATTCAGCAAAACTTATTATCCGGTCAATTTGCGTGATGTGTATGGCGAATGGTTTAAATGATTCTGGCAGTCCCTTCAAAACCATTGCTACAAGAAGCCCATCACTTAATTTCTCCTCCGCGTTTCTCAAAGCGGTGATGGCGGTCTCTGCACGTATTATATACTCCGTCACACTTTCACTGCTTGACTTTAGGAGTGATGTCAGTTCAGTATATAGGCTGATAATACGTGGTTTACCTGTGCCAGCATAATAGTCTCTTACAATCCTCAATGCCTGCCGACCATTATCCGCTGCCTCCCTCATTACAAGGGACAAACTTTTGTCATCAAGAAATTGGATAAGTTCTGCATAAGCCTCTTCATTTTTCCTTTCATTGTCCGCAGTAGTGTTACCAATCCCGCTTCAATCACATTAGTATGCATAAAAAAGTGACAGGTCACACCTTCTAAGTCCCGCCCCCTAGTTATGCTAATGAGCCCCCTTTGATATGCTAATGAGCCCCTTTGTTCGAGGTGTTATCGCGTATAGGTGTTACATCCTCCCGGTAGCCCCCACCCCTCTCAGCCCCCACCCCTCTTAGCCCCCACCCCTTCTCAGCCCACCCCCCTCCCCCTCACATACAGGTGTTACATCCGCCCTGTAGCCCCCACCCCTCTCAGCCCCCACCCCTCTCAACCCACCCCCTCCTCTCCCCTTACAGTAGGCGTCACATCCTCCCTGTCGCCCCCCACCCTTGAAGATAGTGAGGGGGTGGAGTCAGTCATAAAAAAAGAAATCTATGCAAAACTAGATAAAAGCCAGTCATTTGAGCTTTGAAACAAATTGATATGATTCGATATTAAACCAACTAATTATAGTAGATTAATTAACTATTCAAACGTGTACAGTAATTTACAATAACACGGGAATAATAAACGGGTCAGCAACAGCGGGTCTCTCCCGTCAGATTAGACTTTACTAGATTAGACTTTACTAGCGTTTATACCCATATTGATCAGATCTAGCTAGTTCTAGCTAATGATATGACTACCTGCTTATTAAAAGACACCTAAACAATAAGCGTCACTATGCAACGGGGTGAGGCCACAAAGTATAGTACAGCATTATGCATTTTGTTTACATGCCCACCGGAACCCCGAGGCATTACCAACAGATCAACGCGCAATCAACCCATCAGGACATCTCTTGCTACACATTATGTGTAGACATTATAATTGACTATTCTTGTCTGTCACATACTCTTTTGTCTGTCACACACTATTCTTGTATGTCACATAAGTGGCGCAACTGATGCGGTATTGCGTTAAAGGGGGCCAGTCAAGAAACGGGTGCAGTATCTGTGCCGGGTTCAGACCCTCCGTCTGAGGCTCTTCATGAAAAATGGAGTCTGGGTGTGTGAGACTGTCTCCCCTCCCACCCCCTCCCCTCCCCCCTGCCTGTCACCTCCTGATCTTGCGATCAGCTGTTAATTCTCATTCACTAAGTCACCTAAAACTTTTATTGGAATTGGGTTTTCTTTAGAGCTGTTTTCAGTGAGACAATGCAGTTTCTGATCATTTTAAGTTTCAAGTTTCAAGGCTTTATGGCATATGCCCATTAGCTACAGTGTAGATATGTCAATGAAAAACATAGGTCACAGGCTCCTCCAACAGTGCACATAAAACAGATAAAATACTGCAATTTGTGCGTAATTCTCTCACAAAGGAACTGTAAGATACACGTTTATGTATGGAAAACTATATAAATTGGTCAAATATTCATTAATTTGTAATGAATTGAGTTTTCTTCAAGAATCAAACTCTAAATGGAGAGTTTGTGATTTTAACACTGTTTCGATGAAACAATGCAGTTTTGATAACTTGACTTGACTAACATTACTTTTTTTTTAAATATATGTTTTTTAGATGCTTTACTTTTGATTTCTTTCATATTATTTTAACACAACATTACTTTTTTCATATTTTTCAACATACTGTGATATATATATATTTTTTTCTCTCCATTATATTTTTGAATATACAGTGATTTTTATCAAAATACAACATGCAACTATTACATTATACAATATTACGACTTTTTGCGATATTTTCAACACAATATACTTTTTTTTTTTGTAGGGCTTCAGGATATTTGGCATGTCATGCCTAAAACCGGTGTCATCTTTCCTGAAACTGACGTGCTGTCCGTTTTACAAACAAGTTATCTTTCTGCTTCTTCCCCCTCTGAATTTTCCTCCCCCGTCCCTCTACCTTCAGCCATCACAACAACAATCAAGTCAGATCTGTGAAATTAAACACCTCTTCCCAAAGCGTGACTTCCCTATTGAGGGAGGGGGACAGTAGGGCCTAACCCGATTTGGCCAAATATACTAACATGCAGAACATATGGTATGTTTGAAAAAAGACTAACCATCTATCCAGTTCAAGCTGTCTTTAAGATGTGACATTGCGCTCTGACTTTTTCCCGTAAAATCGTGACAAAACTATTACTTATTAAATTTGACCTCATGCTGCTTGGTTGAAAATGATAGATGAGCATTTACCAACAGATCAACGCGCAATCAACCCATACAGGACATCTCTTTCTACACATTATGTGTTATCACTATAATATCATGTCATTATTTAATGTTGTTTTGTTTGTGTGTGTGTGTACAACGAAGTCTCTTTGAGAGGAAAATTATAATTTAAAGATCTTAATACCCCCTTATTGTTTAATTACTTCACACAACTATTAAAGAATCCCTATATGAAGTTACATGAGGCTACATTTACTGGTGTGCTTCCCTAGATGATGTAAATAGTCTAAGTGTCATGTTAGGGGGACATTACGGACCTCAGGAGTCCGCCCTTTGAGGCGTTGTTAACATTAATGCTTTTTGCTTTTGTTTTTGTTACTAAGATACTTTTTAGCCTTATGATAGGATGAACTTAAGCTGTAGTCAATAAAGACATGTTTAATAGAGTGTTGCTGTTAGAGAACATACCTGCGCAGCACTCCACCACGTCTTGGCTTTGGCTTCATGGCCTTCACTGTCCTCTCCCTTTGAGTTTTTTCAAAGGCCGGGATACATTTTTCCAAATGATCACTTGTTACATGGTGACAAACATATGGTTATATAACCTTAAAGAACTAACAAAAAATAATTAAGTATTTGCAATGCATAAACATAGAAGTTATCACTGTCAATATTATTCACCTGGGCATTAGTGGGCTTGAGGGTCTCAGGGAGCGTGGACAAAGTGACTTGTCTCTGTATTTGAGGATTCTCAGTGCAGGCACTAACAGGAAGCTGCTGTGCATTAGTGGAGAGTCCTCTGAAGGCAGCTGTTATTTCATTCACACACTCATCTGCTACCTGCTGACTCCTCATAGTAAGTCTAGCCAAGTTAGCTGTTAAGTTGTCCATACCATCGCTTGATAACTGGTAACTTTTGATTGACAGTCCAGCCATGGCAGCTGCCAACTCGTCCATATAATTCTTAAGAACGTGGTGACAATACTACAAAAAAAAGTGTATATATTAGGTCAGTTAACCTTGAAGAGCTAAACAGTTCAAGTGGTAAGTAACTAAGTATTTGCAATGAATAAACATAGAAATGATCACTGTCATATTATATAATCACTTATTATGGAGATAAGTAAAACTGACACAGACAGTTTAAACTGCTTGTTAAAACGCTATTGCTTATTGTGTTTTCTCAGCACACTAACATAAATAAGGATGTATAATATAAAAAACTAGAAAACGATATAGTATTTTCAAGTCTTACTTTAGTATGGTAAAATTAAGAATAAGTCACATTAAAGTGTGTCATGATTTTCCGTAAAAAAGTCAAGTATAGTTTGTCAAAAGAATATGAAAAAATCATTTTGTAGAGTAGTATGTTGAAAATCTCAGTGTTTAACTGAACACACCTACATGTGATAACGCCTCGAACAAAGGGGTAATTAGCATACAAAGGGGGGTCACTAGCATCAGTGGGGGAAAGGTGCTACGGGAATGAACTTTGAGGAGGGGGAACTTGTAAGAATTTCCAGCTTTTGAAGACAATTATATGGTACCCGTCCTTACAGCTAAACAAATCCTATGCCAGGTATTCAACAGACCACAAGAAGCACAAGAAGCCCCAGAAAGGATTACATTCAGAGCTAATAATGGTGAAACCGAAGAAGAAGCAAAGCAGATTATAATCGTTGCGGGTGAAAGGATAGAGAATTTGCAAGTGATGTTAATGCACTTATCTGATATAAAAAATGCATTAATTTACTTCCAAGAGACCCCTAAACATCTACTTGGGCAATGTGAATTGAACGATAAACCGATCACTGTAAATGAAACGCGGAGAGAGGCAACAGTGCAAATCGTTAAGTCTATTACCTTGTATGCACTACGACATTAACTTGGTCAAATGTAATATGTCTTTCTGAAGATGCGGCGAATGGTGTGTTTTTCAATTAAACAACCATAACAAATGAAAATGTGTTTTATTTTTGCTTTCATATATAGTAATAGTATTAACTCCTCTGACTAGACTGTACTAAAATAAGACGTTTCACTGTTAAATAAAAATGGAAGTAGAAAATCGAGATAATGATGAGGCTCGTTATGTATCCAGTAACTATGAACAGCAGTTTGAAAATGTTATTTAACCCTTTAACTCTAATTGACAAATCTAAAATAGCCTCTAGCTTATCTATACATTTGTGATTTTAACACTTATTCACTGACACAAGGCAGATTATGGCTTTTTTCTCTTGCCAAGATACTTTTAGACACACTTTGAGGTATGCAAAACCTTAAAACTAGAAAATGAAGTACATTGTCTGATTAGATTTTTTCGTAAAGACTGTTTCTCTAAAAGGCAAGTTTGTGATTTTTAACACTTATTTACTGACACAAGGCAGATTTTGACTTTTTTTTTTTTTCCTCTTTTCATGTGTTACCAAGATACTTTTTAGATATACTTTTATGTATGCAACACTTAACAAAGGGGTATAATATGAAGTACTTTGTAAGGGAATGGGGGTTTCTTTAATACCCTGTTTTTTATTTCTAAAAAACACTTGTACAGTTAAATAAT